CGTTATTCAAGTAGCAGTAATTTCGAACTACAGGGAACGACGCTGAGTAACGGCGTGATGAGGACTTGTGATTGGACAGATAGGCGGTTCGAATTGGCCAATTGAGGATCACAAAACCAAAATATAGAAAAAGTTTCGAATGAAAAAATGAGCTTTGAATATAAGATTAAAAATGATATTATGAATATAAAGAGTAATTAGTACTACGAAAACATCGATGCCATGGTTTTCAAGTCCTCATTCTTACAGGAAACTAATTATCACAAGGGATCAAGGTCATACAATGCCTAGTACACATATTGCATTGCATCGACGTGACACATGGACTGTGGATTTGCACCCCCCATGGGGACCAACAAAATGTGACATGATCGCTTATAAAAATACTATAATTTAATACTCTATTGAAGTAAAGGAAAAAAGTATACGGTATGGGTCAATGAAACTACAAGCCATAGAATACACAAGTCCCCCCATTATCTCCCTTGAACAGACGGATAGGGAGACGCGCAATGCTCACTCCACGAATTCCGGTATGTCCGTATTAAAATCTTGTGCAAAATAAGGGTACCGGTCATGTCAATTGGTCCCATGCTTTAATGTCACGCTTAATCATGACATTTAGCTTTCTTTAGCGCGTGTCGAACAGTCGTGCTTTCAGCTAAGCGTACGACATCGAGCTTTTGGGTGAGCATCAGTCGGTGTCGAGGCTTCGTTGGCAGCACTGTGGCTGCAGGTAGCACTGACATTTAAGGTTTCAATCAGTGGGGTGGAAAGTTGTTTAAATTATGCAGGGAAAAATTCCGCCAATCATAGTCGAGGTAACGATATCGATGATTATTATTGGATGATTTGAAAATTTATTCCCGCGCCGCTACTCAGCGTCATTCCCTGTATTACCGTGTTGTGTGGTATCACATGAGGACAACCAATGCTGTAGAACCTTGATGTGAAGGATGATTTGCTTCGTTGAATACAGCAAGGGTTTCGGACCTGTACATATTTGTGTTGAACAACGTGACGAACAATACGTCCGCCAACACACTTTTGACGGTGGATTCTTTGTTACCCGGCGTTGTGTGGCATGAAATTACGAACAACATGTCGTCCGGACACTTCATGTGAAGGACAATGAAACGGTAGCTTTTCTCACCTACGCTGCGGTGGAAAAATGATGCATACAATATTCGGGTGCAAGTGGTGGGTAGATATTGAAAATAGCTTGGGTTTCCTACATTTGCTATGATGGTTGATGATACGATAGGGGAAATACGGTATGGTACGTATGGTGCAGAATAGTTTATTTACTGCAAAACGCAGGTTGTGCCCATGACCGTTATGTGAAGGGATGTGTGCACGATATTTAGAAAGAATGAATTCCGTGTTATGGAGTATTTAGTTGTCGTCGTTGGCAAAAATGGAGCGGTACACGACGTTCAAGTTGTAGGTTCCTTCGAATGCGGGGATCCCGTACGCGCCCTGCCATGGGCTGTGAATAATTTTCCTTACATTAGCAAGAGATATTATCAAATAGTACTTTGAAGTACTTGGGTATCAATAAATAATTATATGGATATTATATTTGCGGGGTTTCGGGGTGTCCCGTCCTTATGTTTTGAAATTTCCCGTACACCAATACATTTTTACCAAGCCAAAACCGTAGCACTGATACCCTATAGCCAAGTATCTCAATGATCCACAAGCATGCTTTGGAGGCCGTCGACCGTTCCCTTCGTGACATCATGGACAACCCCACAGCCCTCGTTGGCGGCAAGGTTGTTATTTTCTCGGGCGATTTCAAGCAAATCCTGCCAATCATTCCACGCGGCACACCATCGGCCACTGTGGAGGCCTCCTTCAGACGCAGCAGCATCTGGAACGACGTGAAAAATGTCAAGCTGTTCACTTGCCTCTCAGCCGATTCAGTCGAGCAAGAAGGCGAGGATGTTGACGACATGGCCATGGAATTTCCCTCCGAGTTCCTGAATTCCATCAACATATCCGGCATGCCACCGCACGAGCTCGAGTTCAAGGTGGTGTCCAGTCATGCTTTTGCGCAACACTTGCCCCCCCAGGGTCTATACAACAGGACAAGATTGCGGGTCGTCAAAGTGTCAACCAAGTGCATCGAGGCAACTATCATGGGCGGTGCATTTGACAACAAGCGAGTCTTCGTACTGCGCATCACTTTGGTCGATGAGGGAAGCCAATCCAACCTCCCTTTCAAGTTGAAGCGACGCCAGTTTCCAGTGAAGTTGGCATTTGCTATGACCATCAACAAGTCGCAGGGCCAAACGTTTAGTCGCGTGGGTCTTACTACCTCTGTCCGATTATGAATGCACGTTTTTGGTTTAGTTGAGTTATTTTGCCCAAATGGTAGAATATGGGGAAAGAAAGTACACTTCCGGAATGAGGAATGCGTGGGCTATCCAAATTAGATATTATCAGCTGTATTATCTAGAAACCAGACACGAAATTCAAAGAAAATATACAAAGTACCTGTATAATAATGCTTACATTTCTAAATTGCAAGCCTACCACCCACGAATATCCGGATAACGGGGACTTTCGTATCCGGCTATATCCGGCAATCTTTGGCGCCAAGCTCTTGGCGGGCTTTGCTCATTTGTCCAGTCCAGTCCAATTATTCTGAAAGATGCTCAAGGGGCAGAAGAAGAACCTCACAGACAGTGAGTGCAACAGCATGGTTCAACATCTGCTGTTGCGGTGCACCAAAGCCGTGGGAGCGGCGGACGAAGTAGCTCAGTTGTTCGACTGCACACCATCAACTGTTCGCCGCATATGACGTCGTGCGTCCGTGAACCTCTCAGGAAGCAAGACCATCTGTCGCAACGTCAGCCAGCGCAAGAAGAGCACATGTGGACGAAAGCGCCTACACCAGGACCTTCCCTACCGCATCCAAGCCATACCGCAGTCACGGCGCTACTGTTTTCGCTCGTTAGCCCATGCCCTGGACATGCCAAAGTCGACCCTGCACGACTACTTCAAGCGAGGCGTCTTTGCAAAGTACTCTAGTGTCCTGAAGCCTGCACTAACGGAGTCCAACAAGGTGTGCCGCCTGAAGTGCGCACTCGACCATGTTTGTGACCGCGACGGCGCCAAGTTCTTTGACGACATGTACGACACCGTCCACGTAGATGAAAAGTGGTTCTTCATGACTCGGCTCCAGAAGAAGGTCTACGGAGCCATTGGTGAGAAGATCACGCAGCGGTCTTGCAAGTCCAAGCATCACCTTCTCAAGGTCATGTTCTTGACGGCTGTTGCCCGCCCACTCGATGGGACGAGACGTGTGGGGAGTGGTTTGACGGCAAGTTGGGGACGTGGCACTTTACCGAAATCGTTCAAGCCCAACGCCGGAGCAGTCGGCGTGACGCTGGGACACCGGTCATGAAGACTGTATCTGTAACTCGTGAGACGTACAAGACAATGCTGGTGGACAAAGTCATACCTGCAACCGGCGCCAAGTGGCCTCGCGGCGAGACCAAGGCAGTCAAGATCCAACAAGACAATGCCCAGCCCCACGTTCGTCCAAGTGATGTTGATGTCGTCGCTGCATGCAAGGCGGATGGCTGGGACATGGAAGTGGTGTTTCAACCGCCTAAAATCACTAAATTCACCAGACCTCAATGACCTGGACCTCGGATTTTTCCGCGCCATTCAGGCCCTCCAGGCCGAAACGCACTCGAGTAGTCTTGAGGAGATTGTGGCTGCCACCGATGCTGCCTGGGATGTGGTCAGTACCAAGACACTCAACAAGAACTTTCTCACCCTGCAGAGATGCCTCCAAGAGGTCATTCTCAATAAGGGTGGGAATGACTATAAAATCTTACATATGAGAAAGGATGTATTGCATGCTCGAGGCAAGTTGCCAGAAATGGTTTCTTGTGATAGAGATGCTTGGAGTTTTGGTTGCGCGTACTTAGATGGTGCAGACTATTCTACTCACATGCATAAGCTGTCACTCGAAATCCTAGAGAGCATGGAAATGAGTGCATTCTGCACGCAGAAAGAGGCGCTAAACATTGTCGACGATACAGACGCTGACGATAACCTCGCCGCGGCTTTTGGTCTTGTAGAGTTAACGGACGAATAAGGTGTAATTATCCGAATACAAAAATGTGCATTCTTTCTTGGAAATTCGATTTTCAAAACGTGTATTCATAATCAGACAGAGGTAGTAAGTTCCAATGCAAAACCTGCGCGCCATGAAGCCGGCGCACGCGACCCCATGATCCTGTTTGCGAGTCTCACTCAACTCAAGAACAGTGAGGACATTAGTGCCGAGACTCTCTTCACTACTCTCGACGATCAGATCAACTAGATTGAAACAGCAAGTATCCCTGGGAACGCCGGCGCTCTCACGGCTCGCGAAAGTCATGTGAAAACTTTTGACCTCTATCGAACTCTCTTCTACTCTAACGCCTTTGCCGCCAACAAAGACGAGTGGGACGCCGTTTGCCAGTTCCAATTCAAAGCGCGCGAGGATGGTTCCGAATGCACGCCTACTGCCATCAAGGCTACTATCCGCCACATCTTAAACATCGCCTCTCGCCGAAATCTAATTCTCTCGGATTAAGGCTCCGGTGACTCTGTCTCGAGCAAAAACTAAGGCTGAGATCTCTGGGTTAGTGCGGGGTCGCAAGATCCCCGTATCTACAACCTGAACGTCGTGTACCGCTCCATTTTTGCCAACGACGACAACTAAATACTCCATAACACGGAATTCATTCTTTCTAAATATCGTGCACACATCCCTTCACATAACGGTCATGGGCACAACCTGCGTTTTGCAGTAAATAAACTATTCTGCACCATACGTACCATACCGTATTTCCCCTATCGTATCATCAACCATCATAGCAAATGTAGGAAACCCAAGCTATTTTCAATATCTACCCACCACTTGCACCCGAATATTGTATGCATCATTTTTCCACCGCAGCGTAGGTGAGAAAAGCTACCGTTTCATTGTCCTTCACATGAAGTGTCCGGACGACATGTTGTTCGTAATTTCATGCCACACAACGCCGGGTAACAAAGAATCCACCGTCAAAAGTGTGTTGGCGGACGTATTGTTCGTCACGTTGTTCAACACAAATATGTACAGGTCCGAAACCCTTGCTGTATTCAACGAAGCAAATCATCCTTCACATCAAGGTTCTACAGCATTGGTTGTCCTCATGTGATACCACACAACACGGCAATACAGGGAATGACGCTGAGTAGCGGCGCGGGAATAAATTTTCAAATCATCCAATAATAATCATCGATATCGTTACCTCGACTATGATTGGCGGAATTTTTCCCTGCATAATTTAAACAACTTTCCACCCCACTGATTGAAACCTTAAATGTCAGTGCTACCTGCAGCCACAGTGCTGCCAACGAAGCCTCGACACCGACTGATGCTCACCCAAAAGCTCGATGTCGTACGCTTAGCTGAAAGCACGACTGTTCGACACGCGCTAAAGAAAGCTAAATGTCATGATTAAGCGTGACATTAAAGCATGGGACCAATTGACATGACCGGTACCCTTATTTTGCACAAGATTTTAATACGGACATACCGGAATTCGTGGAGTGAGCATTGCGCGTCTCCCTATCCGTCTGTTCAAGGGAGATAATGGGGGGACTTGTGTATTCTATGGCTTGTA